CTGGAGCAATAAATTTTGTTATATACTGTACACCTAATGGCACTGTTGTTGTGACATCACACACTAAAAGTTCTACCTTTATGCGGAACATTAAATTTAATGAATTTATTAATATACCCTTCTGCACAGAATGAATGAATAATCTACAAATGTATAGATAATCCATTTGAAAGAATTGTTACCTCAACAATATGATACACACAGTAGTAATTTTACTTAATTTACAGTTGTGGGTATTATAGACACACAAAAAGCTGCCAGTTGATCTTACTAATTACTAACTTGCAAAAAACTATAATTGCACAAGCATCCGAACGTGTATGAAGTAATCTCACCATTGCAAACAAAGCCCACTATCGAATGTCATCCAATTTCACCATTTCCCCGTGAAGCATTTCTCTCTCATCTTCAAGGCTCTTTTGCCATTATGCATTCTTCACCTATATACGTTCAGCATATATAGAGCGTGCATGTCTTCCTAAAAACTCGAATTTTTAGGACATTCTTCCTCAGGGTTCAAATACACGGAGAAATATGTGCGATTTATTCCCGCGTTGGCAACCATCGCGTAAACAAAAGCGCCTTCCTTCACATCTCGTGGAAGGCTTTAATTTTTATTTATTTATTTATTTTTACAGTAAAATAAATGTGAAAACAGATTCTCTTTCTTTTTTTACTTCTGAATTATGCGAATCAAACAGAATGTGACTCGTTTATAAATTGGTCGTAGATTTTAAAACATAAATGAATGTTCGTATTAAATAAACTTCCCTCTAACCAATCAATATCCTTAAGAGCATTGATCTAAAATAGTTACTCCTCGTTTTTCTACTTCCATCTATAGATCAAATTATAACAGCATAGGCACGACCGACTCAATAATGAAATTTTACAGCTGCGATTTTTCCGGCATCCACGAACGCCCTTACGCGAACGCCCATGTAAACAAGCCTCGTTCCTTCACATCCTCCAGCACTTCGTCGCATCGCAGGTCTTCAAAACGGAAACCAAGAAAGAAAAAAGAAAATAGATCCAGGGGATATAGACTAGACAATAGTCTAAAACCCTATAAAAGAAGAAAGAAGAAGAAGAAGAGGAAAACCGAAACCATGAGGAACGAGGAGAAAATAGGCACTTTAGAGGAAACGGCGCAGAAGAGGCGAGAGAGGTTGCTCGCCCTGAAGAGGAAGAGGAAGGGAGATTCCGAGGAGAAGGATGATAACGAGGAGGAAAAGGATAACGAAGAATTGCCTTCTTCTCAGGTCTTGTTTAGGTAATGCTTCTATTTCGGATGCTGTTTGGTTATGAATTATATGGTCGTTTTCCATTGTTGATGATTATCTTGATTTGCGAACTAGCTCAATGCATTGTTTTAATTATTATTCATGTGAATTGTTGAGTCCTTATGCTGCGCTTGGAATTCCTTATCCAACTGATAAGGTGTTTTTACCATTCAGAAACCTACTCTTGCCTAATTTGTAGCCAGGCAGAAAGGAAGAAATGACATTTGTATAATTTGTACAAACACGCATAGTTGCGGGTAACCATATGAAAGATAATTTTATGGCCTTTAACCCCTTGGTGCTGGGTGAAGCCGATCAGTGTGAAAACAAACCGCTCGAAAGCTGGCGTGCAGCTGTACACGGCGGCGGCAAGCCAGAGATTTGGGCTGATGTCCCCTACTCATGCGCTCAAAGTCGGCATGCCGCCTTTGTTTGCTAGAGCGTAGAGTTATTTTTTTGTTTTGTACACCCGGCATCATTGGGTTAATTGTTCATATCAAAGGTAACTTTAATGTGTGTCGGGTTGAAGGCAAGTTACTGTGCATCAGAGTAATTACAGAATATATGTAGCATGTAAAATCACACACCCTAAAATAGGGATGTATGCTTATGAATATTTTGCATTTTTGGTAATAAAGACCTTGGAGAGTTATGATGTAGCCATATTGTCCTGCTGGTCCTAACAAATTATCTGGCCAAGCAAGAAAAAAGAGTTCTGAATATGGCATTATTAGCAGATTATTTGGTACATCATCATTACTTGACACTTAAGGGTTTTATAGACTAGTGCATTCCTTCATGTGTCCTAATATGATGATGATTTTTTTCCAAAACAATATTTCCTTTGTTAGCACCTTCCCCTTTTATTTCAACAGATTAGGGAAAACTTGTGTTATATTTTGGGGAGAGGGGACACAAATCATATGATATGTTGTTCTTTTCAGTTAAAAGAGAAAGAGGAATTAAAAAGATATTATGTTAAATTTGATTCTTCCCATTGCTGTTGAGCAGTGACCATGGCCTCCATGACTACAGTACTTTGCCAGACCAAGGAATCTTCACAATTTACATCCATGCAGGATATTAGTTGTCTATTTGTGCTTTATGGAAGAAGTTATACACACGTGTATACCTGCAACTCTCGAAACTTTACACTCTATACACTGCTGGTAAATTTAGTTAAAAAGTAATCCTAGGCCTTCATATTTCATATCCTTTGGAAAGGAAAACATTTCCATATAAGCTCAAATTTCAAAATTATTAGAATATCTGGACTTGTAACTGTATTTTTTTTCTAATAATTATTTGGGTAGAGATGTTAATATTGTATTATTAAAAAATGACATGAAAGCAGTGAGTATGAAATATTTTTATCTGAGTATGTATATTTATATTATTTAATAACTATTGCTATTATTTCTTTCTCATTTCTTCGTCATTTGCAACAGAAATTACAAGCCAAGAGACGAAGCCTTAGAAGAAGTTGCCCTTCCAGCTGTAGAGCCAGCCAAGGTTGAAGAATTAGTAAAACAGCAATTGAATGATGGAGAGAAAGCCAAGGAAGAAGTGCAGGTCAGTAGCATAAGAATGCTTCCTGATGGATAGAAAAAAAAGTTATTGTGTTATTGTGGCAAAAGTAAAGGTAATGCAGAAATTCAAATAAAAGCATTTGTGATTTGCATGATTATTTGTACCAAAAACAAATAAAATGTGTGTGTGTAATTGATCAAAAGCATCATGGCCTTACATAACAAGTTACTAATTAACCATTTTTTAAGGTGGAGATAACAAACCTGGCACCCAAGAAAATCACCTTCGACCTGAAGCGTGGCATTCAGGCTCAGTTGGACAAACTTGATCGGCGCACAGACAAGTCCATTGCTGAACTCATTAGACAGAGACTGAAGGAGGGCAAACA